CAGAGTAATTATAGTCTTCTATAATTTATTGTTTTTGCAGAGAACTAGAAGAAAGATGCTCTTACATTTCCCCAGGTAAAGTCAGGAGATGGAAATACTACTTCCCCTGATTTGCTAACTACACAGCATGTACATCTACGCAAGCATCACACTGTGTCCCATAATTGCTCTGTAAATTATTTGTAAAGTAGAATGTATGTGAAAGATGGACTCCAGTGTAAAATATGGAATTTAATTAATAAGAATGAATTGACATTGGGTGATCAGTTTTAACGAATATGTGAAGAAAACATGTGAATATGGTTATATAGGAATGTTCTAAGGGAATTTTTCTTCAATTTTTAAAAATGTAATACTCCTACTGCACTAAAGACTATTCCGTTAATTAAAAAGAAAAGGCACAAACAAAGATTCTAAATAACACATCACTTCCTATCCACTGGAGTATCTAAAATAAACGCGAGCAAAAATAAAAAAAATACACGTATGACAATGAAATATAGTGCCGAGAATTTTCTTTTGTTAACTGGACTGTAAAATTGTACAATCCATATTTCATTTTCATTAGAATAACCAAATCAAAAACATAATAATATCACAACATTTTTTTTGCAAGGTTGTTGAGGGTGGGGAATTAATTCTCTTCTATTTTGATGAAGTATTTTTTTCATGGTGTTTGGAGATAGTCGCAGTTTCTTACAAACACCTTGAACCTTTCCCCTGGCCATTCAGTCCCTGTTGTTAGCCTAAGATAAATGAAAACATATGTTAACCAAGACTCGCAAAAGATTGTTCCAATCAATTGTTTTTTTCTTAAAAGAACCAAATTGAGAATATCTTAAATGTCAAAAGTGTTAAACACAATGTAGAATTTTAAATAAAATGGTATCATTTTCTGAATTAACACATTGCAAACTTCTAATACCTGTTGCAAGCTAACTTCTCAAAATATACATTGAACAAAGGATCCTAGACACACAGTGGGGAAAAAATAAAAACAAAATAAAACAGCATATACTACACTGGTTTTATTGTGTAAAAAAATGAGACCAGAAAAATAAAATTGATGGTGAGACAAATCTGATGATGTTGAATTGTCAATAATTTCAATATAATAAAGGCAAAGGAAAATGTTGGTAACAAAGATCTTATTTATCTTCTTTTTCATATTCGTGGCTAAATGGTAAAGTTTATTACACATGGCACTTTAAATTTGTACATTTTATTGCATGATAATGACATCTAATTTTTTTAAAAAAAGGTTTGGCAACCAAACAGATGGGGTTATAAATTGGGATTTTGCTATCTATTGCCAAATCTTAAGCAAGTTAATTAACCTTCTGAGTCTAAATTCTTGACATATGCAAAATGAGGCCAAATGCTTATGGATTTTTATAAAGAATGCATCAATACAGTGTATGAAGCTCTGGGGATGGTATTTTATCAAACAATAGTTATTCAATACATATACTTTCACCGTTTTAATGGCGTTCTTTCAAATACCTTTTTTAAAATATTATTTCTGATGTCTCCTGTGCCTGGTCTGTCTTCCTGTTCAGCCTGCCTGTTCAGGGAAAACTCAAGGGTCTTTCAGAGCTTTGGATTTTTTTTTTTCCTTTTCATTGCTGCAATCAGCATGACAGTCCCGTACCACTCATGTTCCAGGCAGAAGCGACCGCTCAGTTTTATGTGCATCAACGATGACCAATGTGGATTTTAAATAATGCAACCATAGCAACTTATTGCAGAAAAAAATGCCATATTAATATCTCTATGGGACAGACAATAAGATCTTGCCTCAGCTTGTTCTTTGAAGAAGGAAAATGGACATCGAGTGAAGGTTTTCTTTTTTTTAAAAAAAATAAAAGGCATTTCATCAATATGACTTGAGAATTTGTGAGTACCATAATTTCTTATCTTACGTGAACATCTATGCCAGGACTAACACCTGTGTACGAGTGAAAAAAAAATCCTGTGTTGATCATAAAGTTTCACTCAACAGCCTCTTACGGGCCCCTCAGTATGAACTAAGATGCAATCAGCTAACTGAGCCAATTCCCCAGACTGCATTCAAATCAACCATTTCCTTATTCCTATGATTTTTAAGACTTTGTTTTCCTCTGATTCTTTTTAGTTACCTTGCACACTAAAGTAAATTTACTGAAGTAGATGACTGAAAAGTCTTTTGTAAGGAGAGGACAGATTTGCCAATATTCTCTAAATGTTCTGTATTTGTTACATTTGTTTTTGTTTTGGGGGTTCCAACCTTGAATTTTCAAGCTCTCTCACAGAGGAGCAAAGGGAAGAAAATCTTGACAATATGTGCTCAGATCGATTGAACTGTAAAGCTATGTACATAGAAGAGTGATGGGGAATTAGAAAGTTCCACAAGAAAGGCAGTGGTTTGGGGAGACCTATTTAGGATTTGTGGTTCAAATTGTCCCTCTAATCTCAGGATGGACTGGATTTTGTTGTTTTTAAAGTTGGATTGTTTTTAACAGAGGGGGCTGTATATTTCTCAATTCCTGGTGTATGTGTGTGTGTGTGTGTGTGTGTGTGTGTGTATGTGAGTGAGATTTGGGGGGGGTAAACAAAATCATAGCTACATTGAACTCTCAAATTCCCTGTGACTGAGAGCATTAAAAGATATATATTTTCCAAAGAGGATAAATATGATGTGCATCCTTTTATTAATACCTCCACAAACACTAAATGCTTAATTCCTTTTTATTTCCTCCACACACTTCCTCTCCCCAGTTCGTTCAAGACTGTTCTCTAAAAGCCCACGTTGCTAATTATGAATTGTTTATCTTTCACTTGTAAATACGCCTGCATCTTTTTCTTTGTTTCCTCCAATAATTCCTAATCCTTTACTTATGGCTCGTGTGTTGCTGGATGGTATAAACGGAGCTCTTTTCGCAGAATGGATTTGCGGGGGAGAGCTATTCATTGAGCGCTATCAGTACCAAGTACCCGGGTCCTATTAGCAACAAATGATCATGTGGATGTCTCACAGCACGGTTCATTAAAAGTCAAATCTGTCACAATATGTGGGCCAACTTAATCACTGATGAGTTTATGCATTTGAGACAGAGTAGGAGAGAGAGAGAGAGAGAGGAAAAAAAGCATGCTTTAACTGCCATTGAAAACTAAACGAATTCTCCTCCAAACCATCCTCTGTTATAAATACCCATGTGGCAGCAATGATAAGATGGTAATGTAAGGTTATGTATTTAGAATTGATGTTCCCTAAGTTATCGCCTCTATGCAACAGTCAAGTTCTGTATGGATCTGACTACAAAAACAAAAACACTGCTTCAAGGAGTGAAACACAGTGGTACCAACTCTAGATGCTTTGGGGGTCCAGAGAGCCTTGTCTAGCTCTTCACAGAAATGACATATCATCAGGGGAGGGGGTGTGTGTGGGGGGAGCCACATAGTTTTAGAAAGAAGTTGCTAGAATGAAAACATCTCTTCGATGGCCAAGAAATCACTGAAATACTACCCTGGTCCCAAATTCTTCTCTCCTTGTCTACAGCCTAGTAACCTTGGGACCGTGTACTGTATCTTCTATTATTGATCCATTCATTCCCCCAATTTGAGCAATATTAAGGGTCAGTTAGAAGTGGGGTACAACCTTCCTCATTCTCTTCTGCCCCCTTGTGGCTTTATTTTTCTCACTCTGGACTCTTGCCCCAGGCCAATATTGATAGCCACTTTCCACAGGAAACATTCTCAATATTTATTACTTCCTATGTCCAAGAAAGCTCCCCCCAAAAACCTAAGCTAAACTGTGTCACTTCATTCTGGGCAGAAAGCAGTTCGCAGTTTCGCAATGGCTTAAATGGCTTCTGTTTTATCTGTTCATCTGTTCACCTCTCTGACTTAAAAACTGATTTTTTAGCCATCAAATAGATTTCTGTAGAATTTTGGTGGGTTTTTTTTTGGTCCCTCATCTACTGCTCCTCTCTATCTGTTTGGATCTGTTGGTTTCCTCCACTCATTTAATTCCCCCCCCCTTCTCTGTGCACTTCTTCGGTGTTCCTGTTGAAAACAACCTCTCTCCCTCATTCATCCCCTCCGCTCTCACATTCCACAGGCTGGTTGTCTGTCATTGATTTCTGACACATTAAAAAAAATAAAAATCCACCACTCCTTTCCTTCCCTATCCGCGCTAGGCTCTGCTCTCCCCCCCTCCCCCTCTGCCTGTCTCTGCTAATATTCTTCCACACACATGTCAAGGAGTTTTAGACTAAACATGCATCTCTTCTGCAGGGTCCTCATTTCATGCTCCCGGATCTGTGTTCCTGCAGAACAGCTAATTATGGGCAAGTGTGTGTGTGTGTGTGGAGGGGAGCAGGAGGAGGGGGGAAGAGGAACGCCATGGAAAGGGTGACATTATCCAAAAGGGGGAAAAAAAAAAACCATGCTCATGATCTGACTTGTGGAAAGGTAACCCCTGTGCACACACCTTAATAATCTAATTATACGTATTTATTTATGAAGTGCTCCACTGGATTCCTCCATCCCTGTGTGTGTGTGTGTGTGAACTGATTAGAGGAGGGCTCATGTCTGCAGCACAGCTGTGCCCGGCTGTCTCTGATCCCCTTCAAAGCTAGTTTATCTCCCCCTGGATGGCAGCGCGCGCCCGCGCGCGGGAGACAGGAAAAGGGGAGGGGAAAAAACCCAAACTTCTCACTTTATTCAAGACCAGAATCCTAAAGGCTCCCCCCCCCTCTTCCTTTCCCCTCTCCTACATTAAACCTCGGCGCGGCGGGGCGCGGCGCCCCCCTCCCCGGCCCCTCTTACGTCAATGCTCCTCATTTCTGAGCTCAAAGCGCACCTCGCTCCCCCTCCCTCGCTCCTCGCCCGCGTTTCTAGTGGTCTGCGCCTCCTCCGTCCTGCGACGCGGGGCCTCTTTTGGGTCCCCCCTCCCCTCTCCCCGCACAGCATAAAATCTGTGCCCGCCGCTCCACCGCGGGCAGAGCAGCGCTCCAGCCATGGAGCAGCAGCAGCACCAGCAGCAGCAGCTGACCGGTGCGCACTCGGGGAGCAGCGCCGGCGGCGGCACCGGCGACAGCGGCACCGGCAGCAGCGGCAGCAGCAGCAGCAGCAGCGGCGGCGGCA